TTATTTTTTTAAAAAAAAAAAAAAATAATAAAAATAAATAAAATAAAATAAAATAAAATAAAAATTATATATAATGTTTCAAAAAATTTTCCCATAACCACATATCGTACAAATTAATTGAAAGAAGAAAGCTTACGTTGTAATATATTTTAAATTTCAGTATCACACAAAAAATAATCGCGTGATTTTAAAGAGAAAAGAGAATTTTTAATTAGATATATAAGATATGATAGTAACATTTACTGTATAATGTAACTATTACATACTGTTATATTTATATTATAATTAGAATATTTTTTGCCACAGAATTAATTAGCCATAGTACGTAAAAAGAAAAAAAAATTCTATTCGTAATGAATTACAAGCCATTCACACATTTTCGGTCTTTTATAATAACTCTTGCCGTTACATATATTATGGACCCAATTTACGAAATTACCTAACTGATAACTGAACCTGAGTAATGGTAAAGATATAAATAAATAATAAATTAATTCATATAAAACAATATATATTTATTTGTGTTTTAAATAATAATAATAGCATTTATACAGTATAAATAAAAAAAAAATCGTTATTTACTGTATATTATAAAAATTTTTTTTATGTATACATCATTTAATTAATAATTGATAATTGATTATTGACTTATTCTAAATTGGCTTATTATAAAAGAATTAAAATCAGTTGTCAACTTGAATCAGGCCCATTACTTGTATATAATATATTCTTACCTGCTGTATCACAGAAATGCGGTTATAGAACAATCTGGAAGAGTTGAATTTATTAAATATTCTTAATTTGTAAATATCTTTAAACTCGAAATGTAAAAGTGCGTAACATCGAATGCAATTGATTTTTAAATACATATTTGCCTTGCATGCGTGTAAATTACAAAGTGTAAATTGCAAAAGCGTAAATTGCGAAGGCGTAAAATTGCAATAGTATAAAGCCAAATATACTGAATATATACTGAATATTATTGAATATAATGAATATACAGTATATAAAGCATATAAACATATATATATATAATATACATACACATACATATATATGCCATTATCAGTATTATCAGTATTACATATTTAGGAACGACTTGACAAAAAGAGTTTCAAAAGTAGTATTAATGTATTAAAATAATAAATACCTTTTTTAATTTATCCAAAATAAAATCAATGTCACTTTTTACGTTTATATGTTTATTATATTTACTCGATTCGGATGTTTAGTTTATATTTTCTTGTTTGAAATTTTATCAAATTTATCTGATCGCCAAAAATAAGATAACGAAATATGTCGTAATACATTATTTTTATATAGGTTATGAAGTCATTTTTTTGTGTTTAAAACCATTATAAACGGCCGATTTTTTTCCCAAAAAATTATAAAAATCTGCATGCATTTAATGTTTATTTTACAAATTTTCTTTGCAGAATATTTTATTTTCCAAACTGTCATCATATCAAGTAAATTTATAATTAATAAGCGCTTTGAAAACAAAAACAAAAAAAATGTATATAATAACTAAAGTAACTGTAATTACTTTAGGATTTTTTTTTTCAACAAAATATAATAATAAAAAAAAAAAATAATTAGAAACTAAGTCATCAATTCATTAAGATATCGTCAACATAACAGTATAAACAATGTCTCAAATGTCTCAACAAGACAATATTTCTTCTTTTATTAATTGGAAACGATCAATTAGACCACCATTTCCACCAAATATCAATCCAAAAGATTTAATAAAAAAATCTAGAGATGGAGTTTATATAAGAGCTCCTAATGCTTTTATCATTTATCGTAAATTGTTTATTGAAACTTCTAGAAATGAAGGTTATTATTTACCAATGACCGTTATTTCTGTTATGTCTTCACAATCTTGGGAACAAGAATCTGAAATGGTAAAAAATGAATATAAAAGAATTGCTAAAGAAGCTTTTGATTATAGAAAAGAATTGATTCCTAAGACTAAACAACGTAGAAAAAGAGAGAAATGGAACATTGTTTCTTTTGAAAATAATAATAATTCCTCTGTTAAGAAAATAATTAATTCATCAAATGATAATCATGATGATAAATTATTAATATTACAACATGAACAAAAGTTACAAAATCAAACTCCTTATAGTATTTCATCACCCTTTCAAGAAAATTCCAAATTTGATTTTAATTTTCCTCAACATTTAGTATCTCCTCCTACTCCAGAAATTTCAATTGAAAATAATAATTTTTTTGAAATGGAAAATGAAAATTTATTAGAATTTCAAAATGTTTGTACATTACAAAATATTTGTACAAATTCCAACAATTTTAATTCTTATGAATTGAACGATCAATTTTATGAATTTACGCCAATTGATAAATATTACGAATCTCATAATATACAACAAGATGAAGTACAAAATTATCAACAAGTTGAAACAACATACAGCACTTACATTGATGGTCTTGAAATATATTATTAATTAATGTCCTTACGCTTCGCTTTTTTTTTCCTAAAAAAAGAGGAATTATATTTATGGAATTATTATTTATACGATTTTTTTTTTTTTTTTACTTGTAATTATTTATTTGTAGATATGTACAATTATTAATTATAGATTAAAAAATTATTCAATAATTATTTATATTAATAAAAGATAAATAAAACTTGATAATAAAATAATAATGAAAGTTGGTTGTACAACAAACCCCGAAAGAAAAGTGCTGTTGGGTTAATATCGTACGCATATTTATTTCTACTAATGTTTGATCGAATGATTAAAATGGTTAAGAAGAAATTTGAACCGATATAACCGATGTAGACTAATCAATATATAGAATGTGTCAGAATTTAAAAACAATTATTTGAATAAATAAAAAGAATATTCTTTCACGGAGTAAAATCTCCATTACAGCGTGTGTGTACGAAAACGCCACTCTATCTGCTGCACATTTGATAAAAAAAAAAATAATAACGGGAAGTGCTGTTTTCGTGTCTTGAGACGTTAATCATTTTATTTGAACCAATCAACATCCAATTAAATTTAGAATTCATTGGTACTACCCTTGTATCCTTACACCAAGGGCGCACACTTACCTTATATGGTAAAATGTTAAAGAGCTTTAAAAAAAAACAAAAACAAATAAGCAAAAATCACTGCAAAGTAATCCATTGTTTGTTTTTTACTTTTTTTAATAAAATTTAATTAGATCTAATTAGATTTTGCCGTTAATTTGAAAAGAGGGAAGGAAGAATAGTAAATTGGTAATTTGTGATAATAGGAATAATTACGACTTTAATAAAGATCTGGTTACTAGGTTTTTTTTTTATTGACCTAAAATTTTATTGTATCAAGAATTAGAATTCAAAAAAGGAATTATTTTTATTTTATTTTATTTATTTTTTTTTTTTTGTTAATAAAGAATCATATTTATCTCAATTCAATTTTTTCTTTCAATTGCGCTGCATACAATAATATTACACTACGTATATGTTTAAATTTCGTCCCATTAATTTTAAGAACAAATTAAAATCTATCAAAAATTTTATAAATAAATAAAATAAAAAGCTCAATGTTAAAAAATGATTTATTTTAACGATAAAAATATTTTGCAATTTCTACTACTACATTTTGATTCTTTTTAATTCATTCCCTATAATAAAACACTTACAAAAAAAAAAAAATCGCTTCTTATAAATATCATATTATATTTTTATTTATTTACAATCGAAAAAAACTTCCCACCTGAACTTTATTAAAAAATGTCACAAATTATTTTTCTTTTCCTCTTGTTCTTCACAATAAATTGTGTTAATTCTGCGTCGTTAAAAGTGGTAGTTGGTCAAAATGGTTATATGGAACATTTTGTTCCTAATAGATTGAATGCGATGGTTGGGGATGAGGTAAAACATTAAAATTATTTTCTTATGTTTTCATTGCCTTAATTGGTGAAGATATATATGAATTAAATATAAAAAAAATTTTTTTTTTTTAATAGATAAAATTTGTTATAGGGAATCGTCCACTTAATAGACTCACTGAAGCAGATGGAATGGGTAGCTGTAAAAGGTCTTCAAAACCTGATGCTTGTATGTATAATTTTTTTATTCTTCGCTCGAATTCTCGTCATAAATAGTATTATTAAAAAAAAAATTTTTTTTTTTTTTCTAAAACTAGTTTTTGCAGAAATATCTGAAACACAAAGAGAAGTTACATTTCCGCTTAATGGCGCTGGGAAATTTTTTGTATATGATATAATGTACGGATGTATTGATGATAATGCCTGGTTTGTAGTTAATGTTGAAGAAAGACCAGCAGGAGCGCCACCACCATCAACACCTAATGAACCTGGTCCAGATGGTTCAACATCACCATCTAATCCATCTAATCCATCTAGTCCTAGTGTTCCTTCTATTCCAACTAAATCAACTCTAAGTCCAACTCCAACTCCAACTCAATCTTCAAACAACACTGGAAGTATTACCTCCGTCGTTTCATCTCTCATTGTTATTGGTATAATAGTCGCGGTAGTCTATTTCAAATGTATAAAGAGAAAACCCGTGGTAGTAAATAATTTCAATAACAACAGCAACAACAACAACAACAACAACAACAACAACAACAACAACAACAACAACAACAATAATAATAATAATAATAATAATAATAATAATAATAATAATCATAGTGCTGTGAATATATATAACATTAGTAGTAGTGAAAGCCACGTAAATCAAATGAGAAATAATCATCAATCGCAACATTTCGCTGCCGCCGTTTACCAGTGAATTTTCGCTGGGGAAGTTTGAATTAAAGTTGATTGTTAGTAAATAATAAATATATGAAATAATATCTGTGATATTATTACTATTATATGTTATTATATATTAAATTTTATTTAAATTTACATATATTTTACAAGACAATTTTTTATCAACATTTAACATTTTACATTTCATTTTTTAAATTATAAATTATTATAAAATCATTCTTTTATTATTAACGTTGATATTATTATGTAAAAAATCCCCGATGTTATGATAGTAGAAATTGTATAAATTTTTTTTTTTTTTTAAAAAAATACATTTTATTTTATTTACAACTGTGTTAAATTACTGTTAAATTAGAATTGAATATTCATCTCCAAAAAATAAATAAACACATGTGAAATTATTGATCCTTTAATTTTTGGACTAATAATAATACAATATAGTACACATTTAAATTCGATATAATGGAACCATCCGTTCCATTAGTAAAATTTGTCAAAAATCCGTTATCCGAATTCCGTTATATCGAGAAATCCGGACTCCGTTATATCGAGAATCCGTTATATCGAGAAATCCGAATTCCGTTATACCGAGAAATCCGAACTCCGTTATATCGAGAATCCGTTATATCGAGAAATCCGAATTCCGTTATGCCAAGAAATCCGAATTCCGTTATATCGAGATTCGAGAATCTGTTATATCGAGAAATCCGAACTCCGTTATATCGAGAAATCCGAATTCCGTTATGCCAAGAAATCCGAATTCCGTTATATCGAGAAATCCGAACTCCGTTATATCGAGATTTGAGAATCTGTTATATCGAGAATCCGAATTCCGTTATACCGAGAAATCCGAACTCCGTTATATCGAGATCCGAGAATCTGTTATATCGAGAATCCGAATTCCGTTATGCCAAGAAATCCGAACTCCGTTATATCGAGAAATCCGAATTCCGTTATATCGAGAAATCCGTTATATCGAGGGTAAATTACTGTAATTAGATAATCCAATATATTCAAAGATTTTACTTACTGCATGTTCCGTTATATCAAGGTTCCGGTATATCGAATTTCACTATGTACTACAATCAGAACTCTATATAATGAACCTTCCACTGAAAGAAATTGTTATATCGAAATTTATTAAGTTTGATATTAAGGTTGGTTACCGTAAGTAACGATTATTATATATCGAATTACAACCTTTAGCGGTTGTAGTTGTAATAATATAAACGTAAGCTAAATTGGCCGTAAATACTACACTATTGTGGTTGGCTAAAAGATGGTAATCCTGATTTACTGTACAACTATTTACTTGACTTTTGGACTACGGAGACCAACACTATTTGATATACCGATTTTTTATATGTTTATACAGTACTGTACATAAAAAGATAAAAAATTTGTTTATCGCGAAATTCATTGACTCCCTATAAAAAATTTACCATATTATTTCCATAAATGTAATTCACATTTCAGCCTCGAAATTATCCAAGTTGCTTAGATTTTTAAATATTTTTCCGTAATTAAACAAAAATTACGAATAAAATTTTTTACAAGGAATATATTAAAAAATTTCAAACAAAAGTGGCCATATTCCCATATTCAGATATTCTCTCCATAAATTTAAATGCTTCATGTTCCAAGCAAAACATTCCTATCCGAATATTCTTTTATTGTGCCATCTTTATTTGGTCTAAGTGATGATTATTGTATGGCGCACTGTGGCAATGATAAATGACACGCATGATGCACATTATAATACATTTATTGCTCTATAAGGCAAGAGAGCGTCAAGGCCTAGGCCGGTCCACTTATTTATCACCATGTTATGGTTTGTATGGTCCACTTGGTTGGTAGTACAGTAGTACATTGTCCATACCATTCTCATGGCGCCCAGTAAGGGGGATACTACCAACTGTATGCAGCGCCGTACGGCTTTCAAAGTTAATTAAGTTTTCTGTAAGAAGTTAATCAATCATAACTCTATTTAATAAATATTAATGGCGAATTTTTATGGTCGTTACACGTGAGGCAGAGAAAGAATTATTACTGCAATGAATGTAGACAATGATACAGATAGAGAAAGAATTATTACTGCAATGAATGCAGACAATGAGAAAAAAATTTATGTTACATTTGTACCAATCATTTTCAAAAATATAAACAGTGTTCTAGAACGACCTAAATAAATCAGCAGCTGTAAATTATTAATTCTTGTATTCTAAATATATTCTTTATCTTTGCATTTAATAACAACAACAACAATAATAATACTTTATAATAATTTCAGTTTATCAAATTTCACGAAACAATTATTTTTTTAAATTTTTTTTTATAATACAATAAATAAATTTTTATTTTAAATAAATAATTACTAATAAATGATGAATAATATTTTTTTTTTAAAAAAAAAAAGTGATAAAAGTGATAAAATAAATAAAAA